ACTATAAGTCTACGGGTCTCTTCCGTTCCACTTGGCTCACTAGCCTACTAGGCTCACAGCCTAAGTCACACACTACTAGGCTCACTAGCCTAGATCACACTCACACTCAATCATAGCCATCGATATCCTCATCTACGGCTCCATATCGGCGGCCCTCTCAACCGCCTAACCTCCAAGGTTAACCGCCTAACCGCTGTGCACGCACGCCGGCGCTCACTAGTTCAAACCCTAACTCGGTCCGAACCCTAATCACGGAGTAATCCGGCTGACCATAATCACCGGATTCTAACAGAGCCGGACTCCAAGGCGTACAAAAGCTCCGCGAGAGCGACGAGAGGATCATGATCTCCCGGGACGTCGGTTTTGACGAGGGCGAAGGGGACAACGAAATTCTTGAGCTGAGCTCCGACCCCACGGAGGGTTCCCCAGAGGCGGCTGGCGAGCGCGACACCGCGCCCGCGCCCGCGCCCGCGTTTGCAATCGCGCACGCGCTCGCGACGGACCGCGGCCGCGTCGCACGCACGATTTCCAAAACCGACTAAACTGGGCAAGTTTCGGAAAGGGTGCGAGAAAGCAGAGCAGAGCCGGAAGAGATTGCGGAGGACATAAGAATGCCAACACCGGCTGCTCGGAGGTACCCCGCGCGTAAGAGACGCGCACCTGGGGAGTGGTACCGCGCCAACTCGGCGGCGGATACGGAAGCGGGGGAGCACCCCGAAGGAACGAGGCAGCACTCAGAATCGCAGAGTTGTCAGGTAGCCGTATGGGAAGAAGAGATTGACCTCTGGCAGAAGTCCATGGACGAGGAGATGCGTTCCCTATTGGAGAACGGGACGTAGGAGATCGTCGAAAAACCAAAGGGTCAAGCCGGTTCCCATGAAGTGGGTTACAAGATCAAACGGGACGCTCATGTAAATGTGCATCGGTACATGTCCCGACTGGTGGCGAAGGGCTACTTGCAGAAGCAGGAGATTGACTTCGACGAGGTCTACTCCCTGGTGAGCAAGCGCACGATATTCCGTGCGCTGCTGGCGGTGGTTGCGGAGCGCGACTTGGAGCTGCATCAGCTGGACGTCAAGACGGCGTTTTTTAATGGGGAGCTGGAGGAGGAGATTTATATGCAGCAGCCGCAGGGATACGAGCAAGGTGGGCTGGAGACGGTCTGTCGCCTCGAGCGCATCTTGTACCGGTTGCGCCAGGCGCCGCGTGCGTGATATATGCGCTTGAAGGAGGAGCTCGGGAACTTCGAGTTCGTTGCGTCCATGGCGGACGTAGTGCTCTTCAAGGGGATCATAGCTGGGGAGCGGGTCTACCTCGTGGTGTGGGGGGACGACATCCTTCTGGCAGCCCGAGAAGCGGACCGCATTGCGAAGGTGAAGGCGCACTTTTCTCAGAAATCGACGGGCGCGATCTGGGGGAGGCACCTTCTTCCTTGGGCTAGAGTGGACGCGCGACAAAGAGGCGCGCATCCTGAGGTTGACGCAGAAGAAGCTGACGAGGAAGCTGGTCGAACGTTACGGACCGGCCGACACGCAGGCGCGAAACGTTCCTCTTGGAACGGGGGACAAGGTGACGGGGGACGGTAAGCCATTTGACACAAAGCGGTTCCAATACAGCGAGTGCATTGGAAGCCTGCTGTATTTGAGTGTGTGCACGAGACCCGACATCGCACAGGCGGTGGGCGCGCTTCCGCTTTACATGGCGGGGCCAATAGGAGCGCACTGGCGGGCGGCGCTTTGAGTGGTGTGCTACCTCGCAGGGACGGGAGGACGAGGTGACCTACGGGGGGAGCGATGAGACTCTCGTCAGGTATTGCAACGCGGATAACGCAAGTGACGTGGACACGAGGCAGTGTTAGAATCCGGTGATTATGGTCAGCCGGATTACTCCGTGATTAGGGTTCGGACCGAGTTAGGGTTTGAACTAGTGAGCGCCGGTGTGCGTGCACAGCGGTTAGGCGGTTAACCTTGGAGGTTAGGCGGTTGAGAGGGCCGCCGATATGGAGCCGTAGATGAGGATATCGATGGCTATAATTGAGTGTGAGTGTGATCTAGGCTAGTGAGCCTAGTAGTGTGTGACTTAGG